GAAGGTCTACTTCAGAATACAAAAAAATATTTCTTCCTCATACCTTCAAAATGATCTGGTCTCTAAAGCAGAGATAAAAGATGCCTGACTACAGTTTCTAAAATATTTTGACGTCTGGCAGCAAATTGCTACATCGGTTCCCCACAGGATCACTGGTAGCATACTTGCTATACAAGTTCTTCTACAAACAAAAAGCTTATTCATTTATATCTCCCTGAAAATGAGCAGCTAGTAGATGATACACCTAGAATCATCCCATGAGTCAAACTCCAGGGATTGTGATGTCATTGGTTTTATCTTCTTTCAGATCTTTAAAAGGAAACATGGCTTCCAAACAGTGTAACTATACAAGTTCTAGGCTCTGTATCATTTTAGAGGACTCCAACATGCTGCATGAGCTTTTCTTTCTTTCTAAAGCGCCATGTCTGTCAGCCATGCTGCCATTCAGAATTAAGAGAGTGCTGTGGATTGAAGAACACAGAACAATGGTGATAAGTTTCTGTGTTCAAACACAAGGCAGATCACTTCAGATTTCTCCCTAGGGGAGCAATTTTCCTCATTTAACAATCACTTTAGTCTTGCAGGTAGATATTTCTACTTATCAGCAATGAATTTTTTTCCCCAGTTCAATCACTCCTCATTCTTCTCATGCCTACCAGGGCAATAAGTAGATCATGATGCGGGCAATGATAAGGGAGGGACCACTGTTCCAATTTGTCTTTACAGCCTTCTGTGGCTGGCTTTGTTGTTTTTAATGACTACCCAGGTTCCTTGAGAGGCTACCTACAGATACTCATTTTAAATGTATAATTACTACTTTGAGGAAATATAGCAGATGGAAGCATTACTGATCATTCTGTCAATTCAACAGTGACTTGAAATTAATTACATCCACTTGTGAAACCATTTATCAAACATTCTTCACATTATCAAATAGAAGCATTCTAGCCTCTAAGTCTGATGTAGATCCTATTTTCCTGCTAACTGCCATCATAAAATTAGAGACATGTTACCAGAAGACAGCTCCCAAACAGGCTGAGTTAAAAACCTTGGATGGAGAGTAACTGCCAGCCCTGTGGCAGTTCACTTGTCATTTGAAAATTAGGTGTCTATTACCACTGGTCACGTCCCTCATCCTCACGACCACAGGGATGTCTTTCTTGTTGCTGAAGTTACCTAACTCTACCCTTGGGGACTTCTAGACTTTGCCCTCTCCCTGCACTGATCTGGGCATTTTTGTCCCTTTAATTAGGAATTCTACTGCAGTAACACGCTGCACCAGTGGGGGGGTCAACTCCCAAACTGTACTTCCACCAGAAAAGCCCTATGTTAGAGGCTTCTGCTCATATAAAACATACTCATTACCAATCCCTGACTTAAAAATTCTCTATTGAAATTCTGTAATCATCTCCTGTTTCCCCCTCTGGCATAAACATATATAGCACCTTGCATTTCCGGTTAAAACGAGATACTTATGGTGAAAAGGATATTTCATTCTTGGAAGAAAAGGTGTACCTATTTGACAGTGTGAAATTTCTCAAAGTGAAACGTATACCTTCATAATACAGACTGACTCCTCGTAAAGGAAATCCACAATATAAATAATTAACTTATATACAAAGGTAAACCATAAACGAAGACTTCCCCATAGTCCTCTTTTTAATAGTGACTGTAAATTTAATATGATCTCAGTTACATAAACAAATATGCAGTTTTATTGATACAAAGACACAGAAAAAGAAGAGAAATAATTCCAAACTATTAACAGTGGTTATCTCAGAATGGTGTGACCGCAAAGGGCTTGCATTTCTTTCTTTATATTTTTTGAATTTTTAAAGTTTTCTTCTTCTTAGAATTACGACATTATTATGGACAGTAGGTTTAAATACATACATATATATGCATATGTTCCTTTTTATTGTGGTAAAATACACATAACATAAAATTTACCATTTTAACCACTTTAAAGTGTACAATTCAGTGGCATTAAGTACATTCACAACGTTATACAACCATCACTACTATCCAGTTCCAGAACACTGTCATCACCCCCAATGGAAACCCTGTACCCATTAAGCAGTCACTTCCCATTCACCCTGGCAACCACTCATCTGCTGTCTATCTTTTATGGATTTGCCTACTCTGGATATTTCATATAAATAGAATCATACAGTATGTGGCCTTTGTGTCTGGCTCTTTTCACTTAGCATAATGTTTTCAAGGCTCATTCCTGTTGTAGCATGTATCAGTACTTCATTTCTTTTTATGGCTGAATAATACTCAATCATATGGCTATAATGCATTTTGTTTATCCAGTCATCTGTTCATAGACATTTGGGTTGTTTCCACCGTTTGGCTATTGTGAATAGTTCTGTTACGAACATTCATGTATAAGTTTTTGTTTCAACATCTGTTTTCATTTCTTTGGGGTATATACCTAGGAGTGGAATGTTATCGACATATGCTTTTTTTTAAAATGTCTTTAATTCTACTTTGGCATTCTGTGTTTAAAGTAGCAATGCTTTTTCAGAATTATTAAGGATAACCCTAATAATATCATTCTTACAATAATACCATTCCATTTTCAATCACTGATTATGGTCCATTTTTTTTAAAGGCCAAATCACGTTCTTTTCAAAAATGTAATTTCCATCCTTATTCTTTGGGAACAAATTTCTTTTATGCTAAACACTTTAAACTATTATGAACTAACTGAAAAGGACAGTCTTTTCCTCTTAGCATAGCCATTCTAGCAGTACCTAAATCACTTTCAAATGCTTATATATTAAAAGTACAAAAATATATGTATTTTGTTGTTGTTGTTTCTTTAAAAGAAAAGCATCACTAAATAGACACCAATATTTAAACCTTAAGGGATGTATTAAATATACAATACCAAGTAGAAGCATACAGAATCTTCCAGAAATTCAAATGGTGATCAGAGAGGATAAATACACCCTCAAAGAGTACACAGTACCAATTCTTAGACGTTCTACCTCCCACCCTCCCAACAGAAAGATGATACGTCTCATGAACATAAAAGCCCAATAATATCAAGGTTCATTTTAGCTGTAGACAGTATTTGATGTGGGCTAAAGAAGATGATGGTGTGCTTACCCACACCTACTTAACAACTTTCCCCAGAACACATGCACACACACGTTTATGCGATAAACATTCATGTACATGTCACACGTGCACACTTATGCACACACGAATGCACGCCCTCCCCCCAGAACCATACTTCCAACTCAGTGGCTACAAGTAAGGGAAGAAGTGTTTTTGTAGCTCAATCATCCCTTAGGTCTCAGGCTTTTTCTGTTATTATCACTCCCATCCCCACCAATACACACACAGCACCCTGCAGTTCAGAAAGCAGAAATAAAATTCTAGCTGGAGAAGAGGGAGTAGTCCCCTTAAAACAGTCGAAGAACCACCCAAACTGTAATATGTGTTAATAAGTAAGGGATATGATTTGGGATCATTTAAAAATAAAGTACTAGGAATATTTCTATAATATCGGTGGACTTCTCTTTAAGAAAAATTCAAATAGGAACAATAAAACTTACAGAAAACAATCAGTTAGGAAATTTTAAGCCCATAAAAGATTTTACACACTCCAACTTCCCCAGGATCAACACTATCAACAAATTTTATTTTTTCCTTTAGAAAAGAATCTTAAGATGCTTTCGTATTCTAATAATGCTCCCAAAAAACCCTACCACAAAATGCAGAAAGGAACTCTTTCATCCTACTCTCTGCAGAATTTTTTTAAATAGCTCTGGCATAACAACAATGTTTATATCACAGAGATTTTTTTCAATGAAGATTACGAACTTTATAAATGTCTTTTTCTCTGTGTGGAAAAACTGAATCGCAATGGAGTAAGTTGTCCAAAGTCTCACAAGGAACGAGGGGAAAGCCAAAAATAAAATTAACTGTCAAGAAAGTGGTCTGTCCACAAAGCAAAATATCTCAGTTATCATGGGGGACAGTCATTCTAAAAAGGCAGTAGAATTAAACAAACATGTTATATCATGATGATACAGTCGTGTCATTTACGAGTATGTGTATGCACAAGAATGCCCTGTATATCACTGAATTCCCATTGTTTAATTCTTACAGCACTTACTTCTTCGTGATTGTGTATATACTCCTTTTCTCTGCTATTAGACTCTAAGATGTTTATGGCAGGGACCAAATTTTAACACTTTTGTACATGTAGCACATGCCCTGAATACAGTAAGCAGACAGGTAACATGGGTATGTTTGCGTGTAAAATTTCATAGACATACACTCAACTAACTCCCCCCCAACCACCAAAACAAACCATGGTGAGAACCTTTGAACTTCCTTAACAATTCAACCCCACATACTAACGAAGAACAAAAATATGATCAATATAGGCTACTCTGATAATCCCAACGCACAGAGACACCCTAGATATATATACCCTTACGTGTTAGTGTGTGTTAATACACAGATTAAGGTAGCCAAGAATGAATTAGCATGGTTTACCTGTAGTTAACCAACACCCTGTTATTATCCATGAGCTGACTTCCTCAAGTGATGTATTATCCTAACCCTTTTGCTCCTTGTTTCTGTGATGTATCCTCTGACTACCTTTACTGCTTGGTGGCAGTCACACCAGAGTGCATTGGAATGGAAATAAGAGGAGAAATAAATTCCAATCAGTCCTGCCTACTACTTGTTAACAGCTTTTATGAGGTGCTGCAGTGAAGTAATAGGATAAAAATGAAGAGCAAATTCAGTTTGGGGGATTAAAACAACACAGGGTACTTTGCCTTTAAAAAAAAAAAAAAAGGAAGAAAAACTCCTTTGCTTACAATCTCATTGATCAGCTGTGAGGTTTATCCAAGTTACTCTCCACCTCCATTACAATAGGAAATGGGCTGAAAGAGTTATTTCCTGGGCCTAATTTTTAAACAATTACTCAGGAGTTACCTTCATTTTTCTTTAAAAATTCTCTATAGCCTTACCTCCCAGTCCAAATAATCACAGACGTCTTCGAAGTTAGTGAGCAGAGACACTGAGCAGAACAGCCGCGGCAGCTCATCCCTTGTCATTGGGGGAAAACGGCTATCTTTAAGGGCGCTGTTGGAAACAAAGCAAATATTAAAGCAATCACTAGATATGGGAGTTCTTAGTTTCAAAGGCAGGCAATCATTTGAAAAAGGTATGAGATTAAAAAAAAAATCTCAGGTGAGAATGGTGCTCAAATCTTCAAATGTATTCACAGGCTCCAAAGATTTTAGAAGTCGTTATTTTTGTTCATTCAGTAGATTGTGTTTACTAGCCAATTCTGTGACCAATTCAGTTGTAAAGAGTGAATGATCAATTATATTTCCTGTACAGTTATTTCCTTATATGTTTCCCTGTTACTTGTAGAACCTGACAATGTTTTATTTTACTTTTGAGAAGAATAAAAACCAGAGTAGTGGAAACTTGTGGGAAGATTTCTGGATCTAGCACTGTTGGAAAAAATATATACATATCTCATGTTGTTAAAAAAAAAAAGGTTCATACTAGGTTGACCAGTTACCATAGAACAGCATCTAAAGAGTTCAAAAAAAGATAAAAATTTTATTTTCTTCAAGCAAAAGAAATCAAAGAAAATGAAAATAATCATGCAAATTACACACTAAAAATACAAGGATTTCAGTCCCCTATAAAGGATAATTCAAGATATGACTCAAAAATTGTGAAACTTCAGGAAATAGTGCTAAGCTTAGGAAATAAAATTATGATTAGGAGACCATTAATCACATCAGTGGATTTCTGAGTACATCAAGTCTGACTGGACCCTGTAATCAAGGGTAGTGTAACCACAGTGCCTAACTCTAGAAAAACCCAACTGTAAAGGACAAAAACGTTGGAAGATCGTAATTCTTCCTGCAACAGTAGGACAGAAAATACAAAGACACCCACACACCACACACACACACACACACACACACAGACACAGACACACACACACACACACACATACAGGCACTGTGTGTTCCTTGTACTTTTAAAAGAAACCACTTCCTGTTCAAGAAAACAAACACACCTCTGATTACACACTATATTAATGGTACTGCTGGCATTTGCGCTGTCGCTCTTCAAATGTCCTATAAAGCAGAGCCAGGCATAGAAAATGTTTTCACAGATTAATCCTTAAGAGGTTAAAAACTTAGAGCCTACAAACTGCTTGGGTCATAACAAAGTTCCATGACCTTCGGAAATAATTCCTTTTTCAGTGAGTTCCTCATTGTTGGATTTTCTTTTTTCCATCCCTTCCTTTGCATTCAGAAACTCACTCACTCTACTGTACAAATATACCCCAATGTTTGTAAGTATTTTCAATACATTTTGGTGTTCTTTCTATCCTGCTATACAGAGGAAAATGCTTACAGAAAGATAGAGATGTTATATATAAAGCATACATGTTTTCCCCCATTCGAGGAGCCAAGATTAACCAAGAAAATCAGGAAATCTGTGATAATTCATACTCTGAGAACAGCACTTCACTACTTTATAATTTAACAACATAAATTTCCTATGGCTTGGCTTCTTTTATTTTCCAACTGGCAAATAAAGTTTAAAAAAATATTTTCAAGTTCTCATTCAAAGCCAAGATAAAGACATATATGGTGTGTGTGTAACGTCCCCCCAGCCCCAGACCTGCCACAGGAGAGAAGTTCTAAAACACAGACCAGAAGAATCCCATGCATAAAAACCCAAAGGCCAATCACACTTTCAGTTTTCCTTGTGAAAAGCAAAAAAGGGGAAAAGAGCCTTATATGTTAGAATAACATAAAATATAATTTTTAGGGTGATAGATTTTTATTGTGGTAATATACATAACATAAAAATTACCGTTTTAACCATTTTTAAGTGTACATTTCTGTGGGATTAAATATATTCACATTGCTGTACAACCACCATCCCCAACCATCTCCAGAACGTTTTTTATCTTGCCCAACTGAAACACGGTACCCATTACACACCAGCTCCCCATTCCTCCCTCCTCCCAGCCCTTGGCAAAAATGCTGTAATTTAAATACACTTTTATAATTTCAAATAATTATAGTAATATAGTCGCAAATGTTTTTCATATATAACAGCTTTATTGACATATAATTCACATACCATAAAATTCACCCTTTTAATGTACACAATTCAATGGTTTTTAGTATATTCAGAATTGTACAATCATTACCCCATCCAATTTTAAAACATTTCATCACACCAAAAAGAAACCCTATACCCATTAGGAGTCAGTCCCTATTCTCCCCTCCCCCCAGCTCCTGGCAAGCACTAATCTCCTTTCTGTCTCTATGGATTTGCCTGTCCTGGACATTTTATGTAAGTGGAGTCATACAATATGTGGCCATTTGTGTCTGGCTTCTTTCACTTAGCATAATGTTTCTGAGATTTTATCCATGTTGTAGCATGTATCAGTACTTCATCCTTTTTTAATATATTTTTTTTGGTTTGATAAATTTGACATGTTACATTTTGTAAAAGTACATCATCTTTTTAATTACCCAATAATATTCAATTCTATGGATATATCACATTTTGTTATCCATTTATCTGTTGAAGGACATTTGAGTTATTTCCACTTTGGGGCTACTATGAATAATGCTGCTATGAACATTCATGTATGAGTTTTTGTGTTGACAATAATGTTTTCATTTCTCTTGGGTAGATACCTAGGAGTGGAATTGCTGGGTCATGTGGTAATTCTATGTTTAACTTTTTGAGGAACCATCAAACAGTTTCCCATAGTAGCTGTACCATTCTACATTCCCACCAGCAATGTACGAGGGTTCCAATTTCCCCACATCCTTGTCAACTCTTGTTATTGTCTTTTTTTTCTTGTCAAATCCTTTTTCTACACCTATTGAGAGAATCACCTGTTTTCCTTCATTCTATTAATAGGGTATATTACATTCCCTACATCCTTGCCAACACCTGTTACTGTCTGGTTTTTTCATTATAGTGCTAGGCCTCCTTTAATGAAAAGGTTTTTGTATCTAGCTCTAGCTTTTACCTTAAAAAAATACACATGTTGAAGTTGCCATGCAGTTAATTTCTCAACACTTTGAGACAAGTTATTATTTTGTTTATCTCCTAGCAAACCAGTGAAAGGTATATTTTAGCTCAGTGCAATTCAAACTATTATTTCAAATCAATGAAATTTTCAAGTACCTAAAACGTAACTGAGGATCAGGCTAGCAAGCTTTCCTCGTGATACGGAGCTGGTTGCTCAATCATTTGGGGCTTTTAAAAAAAAGAATGTTTAGAACAAAGAGTGAGTGGGAGAGGGCTAGTATGGCTAATAACATAAATACCAATCATGCCACGCCATACCAACACTCAAGTGTTTTAACTTCAAAACTCTGAAATAGTGAAGGTACATTAATCATGATGGAAACAGTCTGATTTTACAGAAACACTAATTCAAACAAGACTTTTAATTCTTGCGTTTTTCATCAACTCTAAGTAACTTTTCATTAAATTCATGAACACAGACAAATTCTAAAAGGCAGGAAGCCCTCAATATCTCTAAATGCAAATTCCTAGGGAAAAGAACTAGCAATGAAAGCCTAGCAAGGTTTTAAGGGATTATAAGAAAAAGATGAAAAATGTGGCTGGAGACTGACCTCAGAGCTGCTAGGCTGGTGTGGATGGCTGATAAACAAGAGGATTCAGCTTACCTCAGCCCCGTTCTCTTTAGTACATAGAATATGTAATGTGGAAGCTGAGCCTTTAGAGAGGCTATGCTGTCTGGAGTCGGGCAGTGACTTGCTCAAGGTGACCCAGCTAGTCAGTGACACAGGTAGGGGTACAACCCAGATTCTTTGACTCAAGTCCACAATTCTTTCTAGTATCTGTACCTTAGTTGCCACCTTTGACTGGATTATGGGGTTTTTTTTTTAATTTTAAAATGAAATGCTTGCTTTACTAGGCAATTCTGATCTCATACCTGCAGTGCCTCTGCCTAAAGAAGATAAATAATAATTTAATAGCATTCATTAGTAGCCAAAGGGTAGATGGAGCTAGACTTCCTGTCTACTGGAAATCTGCAGGAGCAAAAAGGACTTTAAAATATTAATATTGTCCATGGAAAGCATTTTATACCAAAGTAGTGTCTGCCAATTTAAATTCTAGGCAGTCTGAGGAACTGACAAAGAAAGAGATCTTGAAATAAACTCGTATGAAGTTCTCTTTGCTACAATAGGAAGCCATTTCCTAGTGTTTAAATATTGCTAGGAAAAAAAAGAACACTTATGTACAAAAACCTGCAGGCTGCTCCATCACCCATATGATGGATGGCTAAGGTTTAAACAACAGTTTAATTCAATACCAAATTCAAATATATTCAAATTCAAATTGGCATCCTCCCAAGAATATATTTCACCTAATTGAGAAGCAGCATTAACATCTGTCAAAGTTAATATCTAATGTTAAATAGCACTTTAATGAAAATGAACATTAAAAAAAGGAATTAGCTATCAAAGAATCAAAGGGTTTGTGACAGTACCTGGAAACTGAGGGAAAAAAAAGAACTGCTGAAAAGAGACAAAGCCTTAGATATTGTAAGGCTCATCACAAACAATATAGCATGCAACAGAAATTATTTAAGAATCTAGCCAGCTAGCCATTCACTCACTCATCCATTCATTCCTTTGCTTTCTAAAACACTGATGACCTTAATTGGTTGAACAGTGGAAAGTTACCAAACTGCCGAAGGGCTTCATAATTACAGGCAATCATTTTTCAGGACAAGGAAGTAATTAAAACCAAAATTAAAAATCCCTGTTTGGATAGGTGAAGAAAAGCAAATCAAGCATACATTAGTCTAAAATTAAGACCAAAAAAAAACCCCAAAACAGCTTTTTCACGAGGGGTTTCAATCATCTGGAAATTCTGCCATTCCTCATGTGACATGTCTGAATTCCAGGAACTTAGAATACCAGAATCCTAAGCCCAAATCTGAAAAGTTCTCTATATCCTCTCTTTCACATTAAGTAGCAATGTTAGCTTCTCACTGTTAAAAAAATAATAGACACAAAACAGAATGCAAAAAAGTTAAGTGACTG